CAGATGGGAGCCCTATGTGCACAGGCGTTCTGGGTCCCAGTTGTCCTTCAATGGAAAAATAACTTTCTTGAGTGTGCCAGCAGACCATAAACTGAAAGGCTGGGAAGTGATGGGAAACGTCTGGCATTTGTCACAAAGGAGCATTTGTCAGGGAGTGCTTTTCAAAATCCTGCTGCCAAGATCCTGCTGCTGTGACATACTCAAAAGCTGCTAAATCAATCGTCTCTCCCCTTACCTTCTCTGCTGTGTCTTCCCCCTTATTTTCTCTTGCACTTTTAACCCTGCTCATTTTTTTTTCCCCTCTTGCTTTGCTGCTTCCTTCTCACACCTGTTCCTTGTAGTATCTTGGGAGGCTGACTCACCTCCACTGGAGCATGCAAGGCATCCCACTCTTCCTTTCTGTTTGCTTTAAAACATAACAAAAACCTACAAAAAATGCACCTGCTGCTAAAGCAGTCCCACTGCCTTGTGGTGACGGTGGCCCATGTTGCTGCCTCTCATCTCAGGTCATAGGGAGGGGAACAAGTTGGAGACCTTGGTGATGCCAGGTAGGTGTTGGATTGGGCATTGCCTGCTGTAGAACCAGTAGCATGGGCTGTTCATGTACGTGTAGAGCATTTATTTATATCACCGTTTACATATAGTCATATAATCATTTATATATATATTGTGATACAGAGTTATATCACTAGCTCTAAGCAACTTGAACAGAGTAAGAAGGAAACTCTTTATCTTGCATGTGATTCTGAAAACTAGCTGCTGATTTTTGATGTGCTTTTCAGGTTAATTTGTGAAGATGGTTGATGTTTTCTATGAACAAGGCCATTCTAAATTCCACCAACAGTATAGCCAAAATCCACTATTAGAATAAGCAAATGTGAAATAAGAACCCAGGAATAACTTGCTAATGATCATGCTGAAGAATAAGAACAAGTGTTTACGCAAGGATAAGAGGCTTCAAGAACAGAGGAAAATCACCATACAATGAACTTTCCCCAGTAATAAATGGGGTTTCAAGGGCTACCTTGAAAAGTGTTGTCAACACAGTTCAGCAGAGACACACACCTGCTGTCACTTTAGTCAGTGAAAAAGTTGTCTGAAGTCCTGTCCTTATCGAGGTATTAATGTTCACAAAGTAGATGTGGGTTGATTAACTTTATGCTGTAGTCCAACGATATTGCTTTTGCTGCTGTGGGTGTGGCTATTGCTCTTTACATTTTATGCTAATCTCATTAACCACATCTTGTTACATCTACGTCTATTATCTTGAATTACTGCATTAACAACAGGCATAAACTGTTTGTGACAGTGGGAATGAGGGAAAGTGTGTGCAGCCATTAACAAATGGTCTTAATTAGCATAGATCTGTAAATCTTTGCTTGGCAGGGAGTGTTGTATCACATGATTACAAGCTGTGAAGATGCACTTTCAGGGAGCATAAATGTCTTTTTCAGTGTTCAGTTATGTGCTTTCAGCAGAGGATGCCCCAGTGGCATGATGTGGTCCCTTAGGTTTCTGGTGAGCTTTTAGAAGGATGTCTAAAATGTCTTGGGAAGTCTAATAGACTATAGGAAGCACGTGGCATTGGTACTGGTTTACTGCTAGAGATCAGTTGGACACAGGAACTTCTATTCATATTATGGCACGTGGCTAAATGCTGTGACTGGTTATTCTGGAGGCAAGCTGCCCTTCAGTCTGTATAGAGCTGACATTGATGAGTGGAAAATTAAACAGAATAGCAAGAATGAGAGGCAAGGATCAGTGTGAGGAGGTTCTGATGTAGATGTTTATGATCAGTCCAAGTTCTGCTCAATAGCTGCTGGGGAGAAATCTCCCCTGTACATCATGGGAAGGAAAGGGTCCGTTCTTTAATTCTTCTCCATAGTGGAAAAAATACTTCAGATAAGTGTTCTCCTAGATTCCTCTCCTGGGAAACAAACAAACCTTTTGCCAAAAATGTTCAGTCCTGTTGACTTTGGGCTCTTTATGCATTGGACTCATGCCATAACCCACCAGCCAAGAACCCCTTGGTCAGATGGAGCACAAGTAGGCTTTGTGGTCCCAACAGCCAGGCCTGCTGCTCTGAGGAGAACCACTACCTTTGCCCATGTCCACAGCAGCAGCACCATCTGTTTGGTTGGACAGTCGGTTGGGTAGGACATCTGGGGCTTGGAGTGTCTGTTCTGCAATGTCTGGGTCATCTGGTGGTTGTGCTGAAACTAAACAGGAACAGGTAATAATTCAACCTGTCGCTCCTATCTGCACTTGTCACCTCTGAGGAACGGCTGGGTCCAAGAGGGCTTGGGAAAGTGATCCTAAGGGTCAAGGGGAGACGTGCTTGGTCTCCTCTCTGCAGATGGAGTGATAATGAACTCTCTTGAAGGAAGGAAGGTGTCTGTTTGAGGCTTTTATTATCTGTGAAGCTGTGAATCATCCTAGATGCTAATCCTTCTGCTTGCAGTCAGCAGATCTGTGCTGCAGTGCCAGGGTGCTTCAGAGGCATTCAGCACACAAAGATCCTGTGCCCTTTTCTCCAGATCTTTCACTTTTTTTCTAGGACTGTTTCATGTTTAATCTTACAGTTATGCTTCTCATAGACTATTGGGCCTCATAAATCCATTTTGATAGGGAACAGAGCACAGGTCTACAAGATCAACCAGACAGGAGACTGCATCCCTTTAGCAAGAAAAGTCCTAAGGACCAACTTTGCCTCTTACAAGAAGTGTATTCTCTGCTATTTCAAGAAACTGGATTTCATTCATAGATTGGCAGAAGAACAGAGGAGTTCCAGCCTTTCTAAAAGTTGTCACAGCTTCCTGGACTCTGCTTGCTACTGAGCTGCCCCAGGGTCCATGGTTCTGGCTCGATGCTGCAGGGGTGGACCCCACCTTGCATCACATAAGTGATGGCAGCACCTTAGTCACAGTGTGTTCCAACATGTGGGACACGATGTGGCATTTCTGTACACAGCTGCCAGATCTGGTGACATTTCTGCAGTATATGATGAGGGTGCTGCTGACCTCCAGCATCGTTTTCATCAGTACTTCAGTACTTCAGCCCTTGTTTTGGCTGGCAATGAGATTTCTGAACAGAGAACTTAAAGATCTACTATTAAACCTCTGCTTATGAATAGTAGGGGGTTGAGAATCTATATTTAGAGGAACAGTCCTTTTGTTTGGTAAAAATGAGCTATTTTGTTATTGCTTCCTTGTGAAACCTTCTCCTCCTTCACTATTTCCCTGCCAGCCCTGACTCTTAATGCAGCCATTGCAATTATAAGTCGAGCTTTGGAAAAGCAGGAAATCTTTATTTTAATAATTAATTACCCTGAGTCTGTGAGTGAAGTTGGAAGGGGGCTCAGGAGGTCATGTAGCCCAGCCTCCTGCTCTGAGAAGGGTCAGCTATGAGATCAGAATAGGTTGCTCAGGACTTTGTGGGACTGTTTTTGCTCATTTTGGGGTAGGTTTTTGTTTTGGCTCTGGTTCCTGAGGAACCAGGAGGATTCACATGTCCCTACAAAGCCCTGGTAATCTACAAGCTGGGACACCATATAGCATCTTGATCCCATCAGTAGACTTTTAAGGGGTGAACAAAACTACTCTGCTTGTGTGAGCACTGGCTGTATGAGTGCTGAGAGAAGAGATCCTGATTTTCTGCCCAGGTGTCCCTGTTCATGGCAGTTGGGTGCTTGCCAGTTTGAAGGAAAAAAAAAAAGTGCATATTCCTGGCTTTGCTGGCTGAAAAGCTCAGTAACAACAGCTCCTGCATGCTAATTGACCTCTTTTTGGCAACTTCATCAAAGACACTGCAGAATAAGGAGGCCGCTGATTGAACTGTTTCTTCATCCCCAGAGGTGGTCCCTCTTAGGGTTGAGGCACACTGTCAGGGCCGGGGGAGAAGCTTGGAGGGCGATTAGCCAAAAAGCTTTCACTTGCTTCGCCTTCCTTGTGATACCTGCCATGAGACTGGAGATGTGAGTGGTTTGCTGCATCGCCTCCATCGCCTCCTCCATCCCATACAGCAGCTCCTATGCTGCAGCTGCCCTACAGATGCTCGCAAGGAGGGGAGAGCGGGTGATGCAGCTCAGAGAAAATCTGTAATGCTTAAATCTGATGGAAACATCTCACGAGTGGGGAACCACCTTCAAGGAAAACCTGGCTGCTGAAGCTGAGGCAGATGCTGATGAACTTGACTGCATTCTTTTCTCAGAGCAGTCGTGTTCGTGCTTGTTCCTGCTGCTGCAAAGGCATGCAGAAATCCTGCAGAAATGAGGCGTGCAACTTTCAGCTGATTAATTAGCGGAGCATGAAAAGAGAAAATAATAACCATTTTGCTGGTGCCTACTAATAGGTTTTAAAATAATTTGCTAGTTCTTGTTGTTGTTGTTGCTTTTGTGACAAATGGCATTCGCATACTTCAAAAACTTTATTTTGTTCCAGGCTGGGCCAGAAGTCCAAAATATTTGAACTTTCTGCTCAATATGAAGCCCAGAAAAACTCCTTTTGGTAGAAATATTTCATAGCGTACGAACTGAAATCCTTTGTTGTGAATCAGATCAGTGTTAAACTCTCAGATCTGACAAATACCATGCTGGAATTTGTTGTCTCTTGGGGAGGACTTTAGCTAAAGATAGAGCAAAAATAGCACTGCAAGCATTGCCTTTGGGTGAAAGCTTTCCTCCTGCAGCTGTTGAGTGCTCATTCCCTACTCAGCAAACAAAGCAAGTGTGTGCAAAATAAATATTGATACCACACTCTTGCCACAGTGGCCTGGCTGACTCCATAATCACGTGTCTGTATAATGAGTTACAACAGGAGCTTGCATGACACCACATACATCACTGTCATGTGAGAGGGCAGATAGAGTTACGTTGCTATGATGGCCTGATATGGGGCAATGCACCATTCTTGGGGTGCACATGCAGCCTTTTCCTGTTACTGAAACTGATGATTTGTATCTGTGATTCACCAGCAGTGACTCTGTGCCTTTTTTGCTTTTAGTGATGAAAACACACGGAAAGACTTGAAGACGCTGCCTGTCTTTCCCACCAAGACACTGCAGGAACATCCGTCGCTTGCTTACTGGTGAGCTGTTTAATTCAATTTAAATGTAAATCTTCGCTGTGGATGGCAATGACAGGACTGCTCTTAGACAGCCTTGCAAACTGTTTTTACAATTCTCAGCCTGTGTTATAAAGGACTTCAAGTTAATCACTTGTGTTCAAGCATTTCCAGTTTTAGAAGGTTATGAATTGCACAAGAGCCGATGCAAATCCCTCACTGGAAGTTCAGTCATGTTAATGAATCGGAGTAAGCGGGGTACCACACATTAGAAAGAGCTAATCTGAACCCCAGCCAAGTCTGTGTTTGGAAAGAACACCTTTTCAACCAACAAGCAGCAGAGCCTCTGTGATGTGCTGACCTTGGCTGGTGCCAAGTGCCCACCCAGCCACTCTCATGCTCCTCAACAGGCCAAGGGAGAAGACGAAGTAGAATAACTGGAAACAGAAAGGCAAGATCAGTTCTGTGTGGCACGAACGTGCCATGAAGGAAACAACACTTGGAATGAATCAACAATATTGTTTCCTTGTGATTTGTGCCCTTTATTTGGGTTTGACTTGCTCATTTATTTCATTTTTCAGGCTCGATGTATACTTGAAGCATTTTCACGCATGCTGGTCCCCTGTTATGATTTATTTTTCAGAATTAATACTGTTGGGTTTTTCTTTGTGTTTAGGTGTCTGACACTTAAGTGCATATTTCATGTTCTGCTTAAAACAAGATGTTTAAGTATATAGCAGAGAAAAAAAGTGGAAATGCCATTGCTGACAAATCTATAGGTCTTCATCTATAAAATGCCAGGTGAAAAAATGCACTAGAGTGAAAAACCTCTGCCTTACATATGGAACACTAACCGGCCCCTGAAGCTTTGGTTCTTTAGAACATGAAATGAGTTCGTACAATTAGTACCATTCTTCTGCAGCAGCATCTGCAGCAGATCTGAAACAGTTTGTTAATTAGCCCAGAACGCAGCGTGCGATGGTGGGGATTAAGATGCAGCTCCGTGCTGCTTAGTGAAGAGTGGGAAAGAAATGGGTAAGAAACAGAATGTAAGCTAGAGTGAGAAATGCACAGAGGGGCACTTCTCTGCATGCTGAGTGGGCAGCTAAATGTCAGCACGTGCTGTCATATGTGGAAAAGTCGGTGAGCCTCTAAGTTGGTTTTTGTGCCTGTTTTGCAGTGAGGATAGAGTCATTGAACATTACACACAAATAAAAGGTCTGACCAGAGGACAAGCCATTGTTCAGTGAGTATGGCACTTAAAAGCATCATCTTTACAAGTCAATGCTTATTGTTTCTCTTCTCCTGAGATGACTCTTCTGGTCCTTGTTGCTTGCAAACTTCATTTTTTGTATCTTATCGGAATTATCTTTTATGGAGTGATATTTTCCAGGTGAGGAAACCCGTGACAAGTTTCCTCTATCAAATACCTCCCATGTAGAAGAAACAACTTGGACTCCATTCATAGCTCTTTCTCTGTACCCTGCTTGCTGTCACTTAACTTTCACACCAAACTCTAAGGGAAAACCATATCCTATGTTCCATAAGGAAGACAAGCACATCTTTGTTCAAATACTCAGAATTTAGTTCTCAAAAAACAAAGTCTTGCAGGGTCACCAAGAAGGTTGAGAAGACTTCCATAGCCACGTGCTGCAGACAACTTGCAGGCTTTGTCACATAGCTCAGTGCCTGCAGCTCTGTCTCAGTAGTTCAGGGGCTTCTTTCAACAGGAACAGAGAAAAAAATTATCTGTTCAGTGATTGTCTGCATTGCATTGTGAAACAATTGTACAACTGCCTAAACAATTTCATTTGGAGTCCATCCATTTTTACCAAAGCACCATCATGAAGTAGTTAGAGGCAGATATTTCCCGAAGGCTTATAAGTTCAGTGCAGAACTGGAAGCTTTGCTTTCTGTTCTCTGAATTTCTGATAAGAGATTGAATGCTTTGTTGTATGAGAAATCTCCCATTCATTTTATGTGGGCCAGAATACCACATCTTGCTTGAGCCTGGGTGATAGGTTTTTTTCTTTATAGACATAGGCATTAAATCATTACAGCTTTCAAAATATGCAAATGATAAATGACATGTCCTGAATATATGTGTGAAAAAAAAAATATGTTAATAGATATCATTTCCTCTAGAAAAATTAATCTGATAAGCTATAAATCTGTCTACAGGTACATGAGAGTGGTAGAAGCTTTGCCAACATATGGTGTCCATTACTATGGAGTAAAGGTTAGTAAATGTCCATAGATAATGTTATTGCTTAGCTTATTACACGTTATTACATTCCTAAAGGAGCAATTTGATGATTCAGTACCCTCCTATCAAGAATTAAACCCCACGTTTTCCAACCTTTTTACTTTATGCCTCTTCAGTGTTATTTTTAGAGTGGTTTCAGAGAGCAGCAAAACATTGTGCTGAAGAAGACAGAGAGGAACCTCCATTCAAAACCTTCTGTGGTTCTATCAGGAGCTAAATATGTATCAGCTTAACTAAACTGGATATCACTTCTAGATTTGAAGTAATTAATGTTTGCTGCAGAGACATTTCTAATTAAAAAAAAAAGTAGAAAAGACAGCTTCTAGGTGATCAGTGGGTGCATATGTAAAGTGGAGTAACGCTGTATATAGAATGGTATTTTTGGAGAGTGATGAAAATGCAACATTTATTCCCATTTGTAGATGTAGATTTGTAGAGGCTGGACAAACATGTTTTCTTGCAGAGGAGCTCAGCAGGGGTGACGTCTCCCTACTTTCAGTTGTGGCCATGACAGTGGTACCTGAGAAGCTGATGTTTGCACTGTTCTTCATGCTTGAGTTTAATGGATGCAGTCACTGGCCACAGTTTTTTTTCTGTCCCATATCCCTATCACTGCCACCTCTTGCAAGGAGTGACACTCATTTGTTGCAGCAGTGCTGTTGCTTTTTTGTCCACTTTGCACAACCACCGCATAGTTTCTTACCTCTGCCTGAGAAGGCAATGGAAAAAAGTTTGAACATTCACTTTAGCAACCCACTTCACATCAATTTGTTTGCAAAAATCGTCCTTCTTCCTTACCTACCTGTACTTGTCTCAGAATGAAACAAGCTGTCATCTTGGATTGCTTACTTCTTAAGTAGCTCTTGGTTCATGCAGGCTTCTTTTTTCAGGATAAACAAGGAATCCCTTGGTGGCTTGGAATAAGTTATAAAGGAATAGGCCAGTACGACTTACAAGACAAAGTTAAGCCCAGAAAAGTAAGTTTTCTGCATCTGATTTTTCTATTTGGGGTGGGGGTGGGGAGGTGTTGCATGCTGGGATATTGTATAAGCTGTTGTTTATTAATCTAATGAGCAAAATACAAAGGTCTGGAGGCAGAAGAATTCTGTTAAATTCAGTAAAATTCTGCCCTCTCACATAATACTGGAAGTTGTGTGCCATAGTGAGCAGCTGCCTTTGGGTGCTTTGTCTTCTTGAATTCGGTGGTCTCAGGGCAGTCTCCATGGAACCTTGGCAGCCTCCAAGGATATCTGCAGAAGCATGAAGCAACTGGGCTTCTGCACATCCCAGTGTAAAGGCCTTCTGCACAGACAGCGTTTCCTTTGGCTTTCAGAGGTGTGCTTTGTGTGTGAAATGATGAACAGATGTCTGTGAAATACAAGATGAACTGGATGGAGCTGCAGGCTTGCATGGGCAACTGTATGCTTCTGTGACACAATGAATTATAAGGGGGAACTGAGAGTAAATGCCAAATCATGGAGGTCGCTCTCCTTTTCCACTTCCCTTCTCCCCAGCATGTCTTCTGCAGGAGAACTCTGCCAACAACTTCAGTTGTTGCTTAAGTGGGGCAGAGGGTCCCATATTCCACTGCTGGCTCCCCTCAGCCACCCATCAGTCAGCCCTGACAGGCTCTGCTGGCGGCCCTGGAAATCCATCCTGCAGCCCAAGCACACGCTGTGTTGGGAACTCGCCCAGTCCTGTAGATGCATAATTCTCACTGACATGGGACTGAGTCCTGCAATCTTTGAGGAGTTGGTTAACACCGTTGGCAGTGGGTGCATGTGAGGGAACCGTGCTGTCGGGCTGGATGTGAATGGTTTCTTTCTGGTCATGTCTTTGTTGGAATGCTGAAGCCATGAGGAGGTGCAGACATGGGGTTTTGCTGTTCTCTTTTCCCTGGAATTGTCTGGGCAGGAGTTCACATGAAGCGTGTGCTTCCTGCCAGGGAATTTCACATTTGCAAAATGATATTGTTTAGTGCATTTGTGCCAAAAAAACACTGCTTAACAGAACTTCCCCGTGAAGAGCAATTCCCTTTCAAGTTCCCAATTTGATCTTCTTTTTCCAAGACAGGCTATGACTTGGTCTCTTTTGTGCTGTATTTATACATCTGTGTGTCCAAGATTGAACTCTCAAGTCTGTGCTTTGTGCAGTAGAACACTTGCATTAGCCCCGGGAGTCTTTTACCACGTGTGTTAAAAGATGACACTGACACAAGAGGAGCCCTAGAAAATCAAGACAACGTTAATGTAGCACTGATCATCAGAGGAGAGCAACAAGCAGCTCCTCTTGCTCTTTCAGTGCTTTCCTATATTTAGACATCCATGAGATTTTCCTATCAGACCAAATACAGACCGTTCTCCAGCCAAGATGTCCAGCTGTGACCATCAGCTCTCTCCAAGAAAATACGGCCTTGTTGGCTAGAAGCATTGCTTTGCCAAGCACTTCATACGCTTGAGGATTTCGGTTTACAACATCAACCAGACAGATGAAGGAAATTTTTTGAGGCCAACAGGGCCCAGATACCAAGTCACACCCTGCTACAGTTTCTTATGGGATGTTGCCTTTGAACATAGCAGGAGTTACATTTAGGGGAAAAAATTTAAAAGTAAATAAGCCAAAAATATCCCCAACCAAACAGCATTCAGAAGTCACCTTTTCTGTGGAGGTGTTGCAATGGAAATTGTAACAGTTCTATGCTGTACTGTAATTATTATTATAATTATACAAGGGAGAATGGAGATCAAAAGGGAAGGTGGGGAAGAGAGGCTTAAATGCAGAAGGAAGGTTTAATGCCAGTAAGCTCATGGAAAAAGCGTGGATGGATACAGCTGTAGTATCGCAATGGGCTCATGGATTTGTGTCTGGTGCTCACAGGAGAGGATAAGAATGGCAGAACCTCTGTTTGTGCTGAGTCTGCCTACATTTAACACCAGAACAGGTTGTCCAAGGGGGCTGTGGATGCCCCATCCTCAGAGGCATTCGAGGCCAGGCTGGATGTGGCTCTGGGCAGCCTGGTCTGCTGTTGGTGATCCCGCACACAGCAGGAGGTTGAAACTAGATCTTTGAGATCCTTTTCAACCCAGGCCATTCTATGATTCTAAAATTAGCATGTGACTAAAAATGCAGCTTATGTATATGAAGGATATTTGAAATAGACAGTGCACTTCTAGTGTGAACTATGGAAATAATTGGAATTAGATCACTGTTCAGGGAGTGAGAGCACACTGGGTGTAGAGGTGCCCATCCAGTCCGGATTTGGTTTTGGAGTTAAGATGCTGAAACACTGCTGTTTGTTCCAACACAACCTCACTGTCTGTGCTATGGCATGCAGAAGTTTGCCTTCAACCAGTGTTGTTATTTGTTGATATTCAAAAATAAATATCAAAATAAATGTTCAGAGAGAGAATAGTCTGTATAGCTTGTCAAAATCTCCAGGGAGCAGGCACTACCATTCTTTCCAAAGCAGCAAGAGGGAAGTAGGCATGTAAATTATGTCTGCCTGTCTAAGCAGAAGTGCTAGTTCTGCTGGATTTAGCAGAATTTTCTTGCTCTCCTATCTGAGAAGGAGCCAAACTCACAACTGCCATGCGCTGGTGTTATCCTGCTGTTTATACTGTGGATCAGAAGTGCCGTTGTGTTTATCCCCAGCCATCTGGGAGAGAGCATCCTGATTGTGCTCCACTTCTTCAGCTAGTGATGTTTAAATATACATAGGTCTGATTAATTCAATAACAGGGGAAGGTTGAGTCCAATCCTAATGGATCCAAACTTGGCTGGCCTTCCCCATTTTTAAAGATGCAGGCGATCTTTGGATGTGCAAACCCTTCTGAGATCTGTTGAAATGGGAAAGCTGGTGAGATTCAGGCAGGAGATGTAGAGCTGGTGCCTGTGCTTCTCTTAAATTCCCACCTGGCTTTGCTGTGCTCCTTGTGTCATTTGTGTAACAGCAAAAGCTGCTCTCAGATGTGGCCGCATTTGTTTAATGCATTGATAGTGGGCATATGTTCTGAGATAAATCCGCATTCAGAAATACATATATACGTGCATGTGTACGTGTGTGTGTGTATATAAGTAATCAACTGCTTCTATTAACGTAGCATCAATTAATTCCTAACCATCCTCCTCAAAGGGTGAAATCTTTTGGCTTTATCCAAGGAGGCCTTTAGGCAAAGAAGCCTAAATATGAGCCTTGGAGCACTGTGGTTATCCCAAGATTTTGTTGTTGGATCAACACTGCTGCTTGAATAGTGTCAAATGCACTCCACAGGAAACAACTTGCAAGGCAATTGGGTGAAGCAATCTCCAGATACGTATCTCCTGGCCTTTGCCAGAGCTTGTACACGTCACATCAGTCACCCTGAGCACCACAGCCCATCTGCCTGGGTGCTGCTGGAAGGGATGGTCAGACCTGCCAGGTCTGCCTGCGCATGTCAGGCTGGCTGGGAAGGTTGGGTCCCAGCCACTGGTAGTTTGCTGATTGATCTGCGATTGTTTGAAGAGAGGATTTCTGTCGCTGTAAGTTGCTCGTGGAACTTTGTGTTTCTTTGGAAGTGGCTTCTAGCTAAGCAGACCCACACTGTACAGCTTTGCATGGACTGTGAGTGATGGGAGCCGAGGGAGGAGATTTGCTCCAGTGCTGTAACAGGCTGGAAACAGAAAGCAATTTTTATGTCATTTAGGAAAATAGTCTTCTTTGTGGATAAAAGATGTGGCTCCACACTGGCTGGAGGTTATGCTATGGCTCAGTTGATTATAAACTTGAAGTCTTACAGGGCATAAAAAGACCAAGTTTGTGACCTGCATTCAGATTTCGGCTCAGACCTGGGATTAGCTCTGCAGTCCTGCTGCTTTGCAAACGCATTCTGCCTTCAGCTGTACTTAATACAGATATCTGCTGCTTGGAGCAGTGCCTCCTGCTCACTATGGAGGGTGTCTGGGTGGCACGCCAAGATCCCGTCCCAAATATCTTCTGGATTGATTAGGAAATGCATGAAACAAGGCCCAGGGCCCAGAACTTCATATGCTGTTTCAAAGCAAGATAGTTCTGTCTTTCATCTCTACCCGTATTCTCCTCACTGGTGAGATAAACAATGTGCTGTCTCCTATATGGAGAGTGCACTGTGGAGCAAGCTGGGTTTACTCTGCGTTCAGCCAAGACCTGGGGATACTCTGGGGGATGGGAATGTGAGAAAGCTGCTTACTTGCTTTTCGACTTTTTCCCTCACTTCATTGTGTTTCTGTGGGCGACTCCCTGGTGATAAATGAACTATAGTGTCTGAGGAGAAAAAGTAATCTTGTTGTGGTATTGTTTCAAATCTGCAAGAGTTTCAGTCGTCATCTTGAATGCATTACGTTCTCAGGAGTGGTTTTGTTAGAGTATACTGATTTGGAAAAGGGTCGTATTTATGATATCTCTCTCTCTTAATTCAACATACAGTTTCTAAATGCTGATGCTGAAAGTTTTCCCTTGCAGAAGATTTGCTTAACGTAAATTTTCTGTCCTGCTTTGCTGAGCTGCTCAGAACACAATGGCATTTGCGCAGGCTTCTCAGCAGGTGGATCTAATCATGCAGAGATTTCTTTCACTGTGTTTATTTCTCACCGAGTAGAAGCCATTGATTTAGACATCAGATACTAAGCTGGCATAATTATTTAAAATAAACACGGGGATGTTACAAGACTGCTCTGAAATTGTGTTCCTTCCAGATGTGCAGAAAGCTGCTTAAGGCTGTGCCCCAAAGGACACGTTGCCTTCTGTGGCAGTTGGGTTGCTTGTTGCAGAGACATCTCTGATTCTTACTAGTGCCAATGCCAGTGAGAACCTGGCAAGGATGGGTCGCAGTGCATTTGAAAAGAATGCTATTGAGGAGGTTTTCAGGTAGCTGGCTTAGTATGTGAGAGATGGATGCCTGCAGGTGTGAGCGCTGTCAATTTATGCTGGCACAGGTGAGAGCTGTCTGCCTCCTCCTGCCAGAAGCTGCTGCAGGTGGGGCAGCCTGGCTCTCCTTCCATCTCCTCAGGTGCCTCCCCTTGCAGCCAGGCAGAGCAACTTTAAGAAAAAAAAAGAGTTCAGCTGGAGGCACTTTGCCAACCAGCACACTGCTGCTGAAGGGCTGAAATGCAGGGTGGTAATTTCCTTCATCGGGGTGGGGTGCATTCCTGTGGGCACAAATCTTTTATGTTTCCTTGGTCTGAATCGCTAGATTTGTCTGGAGATTGCTGTTCCCAGTGAGCTGTGGGGATGCTGGTGACTGGTGCACCTCACAGGTACCACATGTCCCACTGTTGGGCCCTAAGAAGGGCTAATTCTCTCTTCCTGAGGGAGCGCTGCCACCAGCGCAGCAGCAAAGCTTGCACATCCCTGCTGCCAGGGATATCCAGCGATCCCTCAGGCGGAAAACCCAACACTGGGGCAACTCAGCTCTTGGTGAAAATGTGCCATCGCCCTCGGTCTGGGAAATGGCTCTGGTGTGGGGCTGGGCAGCAGCGCTTGGCTGCGCTCTCTAGGATTCCTCCCCCCTTGAAAAAAAAATGCTATTTTAAAAATATTAAACTAAACGCACCAGGCTGAGGCATGCACTGAGCACGTTGCCCCTTGCCCTTTTCTCAAGACAGGGGCTGTGCTGCGGTGCCCAGACAAACCTGCATTTTATTCAAAACCAGGTGTGAGATCAGCCAGGTTGTAAACCAACTGCTGCTATTATTAATGTGTCTCCCTGCTTAAGCTGTCAGTGTCTGTTTTGTGTCTTGTTAGGCTACAGTCCAGCTCTTTTTGTATGGGAAAGAGGGTGAGGAGGGTGCTCATTTCGGTCTGTGCTCTGCACTATCGAGAACAGGATCGTGAGAGATGAGGAGGTGACCCAAGACAGCCAGCACAGCTTCCCCAAGGGCAGATTGTGCATCACCAATCTGGTGGCCTTCTAATGCAGTGATGACATCAGTGGACTACGGATGGGCAACTGATGTCAATCTACCTGAACTTGTGCAAGGCCTCTGACGATGGTCCTACACCACATCCTTATTTCTGAATTGGAGGGATATGGGTTTGAAGAGTGGGCTAATTGGTGGATAAAGAATTGGATGGTCACTGCCAGAGGGTTCTTGACAGTGGTTTGGATGGAGGCAATGACCAGTGGTGTCCCCTGGCAGTCTGTTCATCTGTGGAGGAGTTCAAGGCCAGGAGGCTGGATGAGGCCCCGGGCAGCCTGATCTACTGCCTGATTTAGCCAGCAGCATTGGGGTTGGAACCGGATGGTCTTTAAGGTCTCTTCCAACCCAAGCTATTTGATAATGCTGCTGTGTAGAAAGCTAAAGCTCCTGGTGCTTGGAGGAGCTGCAGCTGGACTGTGGAAGCCTGGCTTGTGCCTGGAGGGCTAATGAGGTGCAATCAGGTTACTTGGCACCTTTGCCTTGTCCAAAGAGACCTGCAAACAGATCTTGAGCATCCAAATCCTGCTTGTAGGGTCAAATGGGAGGCCCACAGTGTGCTCAGGAGTTTTCCATGAGCAGTAAGGATCTGACAGTCAGTAGAATGGGAAGGCTATTCAGCAAACATTCATTAACTCAGGTGGACCTAATCATCTGGTTAAAGGGAACATACATTGCAAAACTTCCACAAAAAAAAAACAAAACCAACATGGTAATTATTCCTAATTGTACTTCCAGCTCTCAAAAACCAGTTTCAAATTTCCTTTTTTTTTTTTTTTTTTTTTAATAAACAACTGTTTAGTCTTTGCATGTGTGGGTAATTCTGGTACAACTGAAATGAGAAATGATTTTGAAACGTGTCTTGTAGAGTTAGGTAGCGTTTGACAGGAGCAGGAAATCTGCAGTAACAGTTTCCCAAGCACAGTATTGGTGCTCTAAATCCATTTGGGGTGGCATTGCTGTTGGCTGCAGGCAGCCCCTCTGCACTTCTTGGCCTTTGGGAGCTCAATGTTGGGCCTCAGCCACTTCCAAGCAATCTCAAAATGTGAAAGATTCTTTTAGTATTATTTTTTTTTCCTCTTTTTCTCTTCCTCCTTCTCTCCTCCTCCCCCCTCCTCTTTTTTACCTTCTTTTTCAATTTCTTTTATTTTTTTATTTCCTTTGCTTTTTTCATTTCCTTTTTTTCCCTCGTTTTCCTTTCTCTCCCTCTTTTTCCCTTTCTTTTTTTTCTTCTTTCCTTTCCCTTTTCTTCACCCCCTTTTTCCTTTGCTCCCTTTCCCCATTTCCCCATTTTTTCACCTCTCTTGCATCTTCCATCTCCCCTTGCTTCCTCTTCCAACCTTTTCCTTTCCCTTTTTTTTTCCTTCCCATCCCGTTTATCTTCCCCACCCCCTTTTTATTTTCTCCCCCCTTATATCCCATCTCCCCAGTTTTTCAAACTCGCTCAGTTCGCACCCCATCCAAGTCCCTGCTCAGGAAGCGCGGGGGGGGGGGGGGGGGGGGGGCTGGCTGCGTGTGGGTTAGGGAATCACCATCCCCGTTTGCATCCCCCCCCCAAACCCAAGCCATCTCTCCGCGGCTTTCCCGCAACCCTCGGGAACGCCGTGCGCGTCCGGAGGAGCCCAGCCCAAAGGAAGTGACAAAGAGCCCGGGGGTGTCACCACCTGCCTCCGTGCCCGGCACCGAGCACACCCAGCGCTTATACGAGTGTGGGCGCGGAGCCGATCCGCATTGTGTTCCCTCCACCTCCCCCCCCCCCCCCCGGAGCCGCAGCGATCCCGGCCGGGCTCCCCCCGCTCGCTGCTGGGGAAAGGGGGGGGGTCAGGAGCCGCCTCCCAGCGGGGCGGGCAGCGCGGGGTGAGGCGCTGCTGGGGAGATGCGGTGCGGCTGCGTGAGGAGGTGAGTGGGGGGTGATGGTGGTGTTGGGGCGGGGGGGGGGAGGTTGCTGCGGGCCGTAAGGCAGCGGCTGCGTGGGAAAATGTTTGGGAAGTTCAGCGACAAAGAGAGAGCGGGCAGTGCGCTGGTAACGTTGGGTGGGTTGGATTCAAAGATAAATAGACTGAAGCGGCAAACTCGTATGGTCTTTTTGGGAATGAGTTATGAGTTTCTGTCGATGACTTTTCCTCCCGACGCGTTTTTCATCGAGCAGAGATTTATGATTAGAATAACAAGTCGTAGTGCTATAGAAAGGGAAGTTTTATCGAAGCAGATGAAAGTTCTTTGAAAGAGCAGCGCTGGGGTTTTCCCACAAAAGGCGTGAACGAGGTCGGGTCTCTGCTCCAACCCGCGGGGAGAATGCTTCAGGTGAAGCACGGCACAGATTGCAACTTGATCGAACACGAAGTTCTTCTGTAGCTGTGGCACGGTGCATTGGTTTCAACCACATCCTGCTGGAACATCGCACTGGTGGGGCTGATGGCACCGATGGGATGGAATGGAGGGGTCACTGCTGCCTGGCTGCCTTCTAATATGTTTCTAATACCTGGGAATCCCCGAGCCCTGCTGCACAGGTGTGCTGTTCTCCCTGCTGGCATTCAGCAGGAAGGCAGTGGTTTCCTCGCAGCATGTCTGTGCTGCGGGGTGGCTCCTTCTGCTCCCTGTGGTTTTGCTGTGTGTGTCATAGCCCTTCTCCGGTGTCTCACTGAGCCTTATGCCCTGTATCTTTAGAAAACAGAGGTCTTGGGCTTCCCTCAGCTGCTCCCTCTATGGGGGGAGACCGTCAGTGTTGATGTGATTACTTTATGGTTCTTTTGCATTTAAACAGAAGGAAAAGGACTTTGCCCGCCTTCCTGAGGTCCTTACAAATGTTGAGGGGTGACATTAAATGTGCTGTTTGTGCAAGTGGATTCATCACAGGCAAAATCCAAAAGTTGCAGTGCATTGTTTGTAAAAGTGTGCATTTACTTGAAGGGCATCCTAAACATCTGTATTTGTGTGCTTGTTTTAACTAATGTTATGAATGTTATTGCTGAATCTATGCCATAGCTGAAGATACACAGAACTTGTAGTTTGCTGGAGTTGCATAACCTGGGGGAGAGATCAGTGACTCTTGGAGTGACGGTGCTCTGCCACTCTCTCCCAATTCTCCTATAGCTATTCCAATGGAAACAGCTGGAAAACCTCTATTTCCGTGAGAAGAAGTTTGCTGTGGAAGTGCACGATCCCCGCAGGTGAGACTGGAGGGGCACCCAGAGCCATGGGAGGAATCTCTGCCAGTGTGGGCACTCGTTGTCCCTGCAAACTGATGGGTGGGATGGGATCTTGTGCTGATGTCAATGCAGAACTGTGTTTAATTAATTGGCTATGGAGCCAACTCCTGGGAGTTAGAGGGGAGGAAAGGGAGCAGCGGGTGGGGGGTGAGAAGGAAATCCAAGTTCTGATCTCTAGCATGAAGCCTTGACTGATGAGGAAACAGGCTTTGGGGGCTTTAAACCCAGCAGGGCTGTCCTCAAGTTGCATTTCTTTTCACCTCTTCAGGATTTCAGTGTCAAGAAGGACCTTTGGTCAGAGCGGGCTGGTAGTGCAAACCTGGTATGCAAACACTTCCCTGATCAAATCCATCTGGGTAATGGCAATCAGTCAACACCAGTTCTACTTGGACAGAAAACAAAGCAAAGTAAGTTACACAGCATTTTGCTGTAGGCATGAGCTTCAACACCTCTCCTGCATGTCCTTCAGTGTATGTTGTTCCATGGATAAACTGCTCTCCAGAGAAAAAATACAAATAGTTTTCATCCGCTTTTTGAGCAGACTATCAGCTACGGTATTGTTACAGGATCCATTTGAGCCTGCCTCCAATTAAGAGCAATGGAAGTGTAATCACAGCAAAGGGAATTCCCACGTCTCAGTGTTTAATATGCCCTTTTTTCTTTTGTCTCTTCTTGCGTTCATTTTGAGAAGGGCACAAATAGAGAAGGGATTTGGAGGCAGTTCAGGCTTTGGGGCCAGGCTGAAGGAGTGCTGGGGCAGTCAGCTCTTGTGCGAGGGTTTTGTGGGGGATGAGGTGTGAAGTGGCATCTTCTGTGACCTTGTGTTCTGAAATTAATTAGAAGTAACTTGATTTTATTTTTTAACTCCTTCAGGCAAAAATTCCTTCAGCCAGAAGTTTGGATGATATCGCCATGGATTTGACAGAGATGGGAACACCAAAGGTTTCAAAGCTAGTGACTCTGGAGGCAAAAAATCAGCTTATTATGGCCAGCAGTGGCAGCTTAATCTCATCAGGTAATGCTCTGTGTAAATCAAAGCCTTGTATACAGCAGGACTTGTGTGTGTAGGAAGGGACAATGAGTCCAGCTGACCATAAATACAGCAAAACTGTGACAGCATGCGTTAGTTTACATATGAGATGGTAACATCTGTTGTTATCATATGCTGTTTCCTCTCCTGCTATAACTAACAAAGAAATAAAAATATGCTGAAGGCAGATAAGCACCCATGTAATCTTGATCCATAAGTAACTTGCCATCAGTTTACCAGTTAGTCTGTCCTTGGATGACTGCACGTCCCATCTGAGTTTGAGGGCAGTTTAATCCAAGCAGGTTTCAAGCACCTGCCCTAGATGTTGAATGGACCTGAGCTTCCTCAAAAATCAGCAGAAAAGAGACATTTTCTCAAATAAAATTTGGCTCTGAAGTGGGCTCTGGATGTCTCTGCCACCTATGGAGGAGGTCTGGGCAGATGGAAGCCTGCCTTGTCCCACCAGAGTGCCTGGAGCTGAAACCCAAGCAAGGGCCATCAGTGTCTGTATCAAGTATCATAGATATCCGTAATGCTAATCCTAATGTTCTGGATAGTGGGTTTTCAGGTTTCATGCTTGAGGCTTACTTGCATTTTTGGGGGTTTGAAGGAGTGTGGATTTTCTTAGAGCCTGCATCCTGGATAGCACAGGGGCTGGATGTTTTGTCTCAAAGGTGATGCAGTGTGACTAGGTCAGCCAGCTCTGAGGAGATCTCAGTTCACCTGCCTGTTGTAGGACAGAATGAAATGACTTTTACCTGCAAATTCTCTAATAAAATGAATGTATTTTTCAGGCTCTCAGGATTCAGAAGTCAGCGAAGAACAAAAGAAGGAGAAAATTATGGAGCTAAAGAAGAAAGAGAAACTCCTTCAGGAAAAACTACTCCAGAAAGTTGAGGAGCTGAAGAAAATCTGCCTGCGTGAAGCGGTGAGAGCCTGGGGGTGGAGGTGGGTGAGAGCCCTTCTTGCCCATTGGACCTTCACGTAGAGCCCTCTCTGTTCCTCAGGAGCTGACGGGCAAGATGCCAAAGGAGTATCCTCTGAGCGCTGGAGAGGAACCTCCCCAGGTCAGAAGACGTGTTGGCACAGCCTTCAAGCTGGATGACAACCTGCTCCCTACTGAGGAGGTGAGTGATGTGGCTTGTTTGCACAGCAGAGGTGGGGTGGTCAGACCGGTGGCCAAAGCTACTTCTAAACAATCCTGCTCTTCCCTGGTGATTTAAGATGAGACAGTTGCATGCCTGTGCTGAGGAGATTTTGACAGGTGCTGCCCTTATTTCAGCCTTAAAGCCCTCTGAACTGAACCCTGGTTTGGCTGCATTACTTATATCTTAATGTGAATGTTGCTGCTAATTGGAAAAGAACAGATAGATGTGATGTGTGACTGTGAGTTTTCCTCCTCATGAGCTCTGATTTGTTTCGTGCTGAGCTTGTGTTTGAACCCAGAGCATGAGGTGTGTTGTCCCCTTTGCAAAATCATCTGTCTGTGGGCATAGTTGGGTGACAGATGACAGCAGGAGGAGATTTATCTCTGGCTTAATGCAAGTTCCACCTAAGTAGAAGCTCTCTCTATGTTGCTCAAGAAGCTAATGTGAATTTTGCTGGCAGAGTCTGACTCAGGAGCTGTGCTAATTCAGGTGTATGTTATTTCTGGACATGCATCATTCCCCCTCATTCCTTGAGAGACTTGTTATCTGGCTGTATCATCCTTAGTAGAAGAGGTTGAACACTTTGCATCCATCTTTCACCCCAAACTCTCTGCCCTGGCTCCTACAGTACTGGCATAACCTCTGTCTGCAGCAAACTGCTTGTATGCAACTGAAACCAAGTCCTGCTTCCAGATTTAATAATGTACCACTTCATGCTTCTCTGCTTCTTTCATATGAACCTCTCACAGTTGTTTACAAACAACTCAACAAACTCCAGTCTCCTTGTTATGTAGGTATATGGCGATGGAAATCTTTATTTTCTGTAATGTAGAGAATTCCAAGAGATGTTTTCAGCTTTGCCTTGGAGCAGGAGGTCTGTGAGCTCGCCATGTAACAGGTGGGGCTAGCCTTGAATTCAGGTGTGCAATTTCAGCCACCCAGCCTTGAGAACCTCGGATCTTTCTCGAGAGATCTCACAATCTTAAGTCACAGACAGAGGATCTGAAGTTTTCCTGTGCTGAGTTTCTCGTGTATAAGCTTTGGTGTTTCTGTGGTTTGTGCTCAAATCTCGCTTTGTTACCGCAAAACCAGATTGTCTTTTGTGTAGCCTCATCTGAATAACTCATCTCTCAAATTTGCAGGATCCCGCTTTGCAGGAATTGGAGAGCAATTTTGTCATACAGCAGAAGCTGGTGGAAGCTGCAAAGAAACTTGCCAGCGAGCCGGACCTCTGCAAAAATGTGAAGAAGAAAAGAAAACAGGAGTATGCCGATGCTGTAAAAAAGCTTCAAGAGATAGAAAATTCCATAAATGAATACAGGATCAAGTGTGGCAAGAAGCCAACCCAAAAATCAACTCTTACTCTGCCAGGTAAACAAGAGAATTCCCCGTGTTCTGATGAAGACAGAGACAAAGAAGTCGTATTTGGCTCACTTACATGTTTTGTTTACATCTTCGTATGATTTTTATCTTCTCTGAGGCAGTTAAGTAAGAAAGCGAGATGCAATTGCTGCATCTGCCACAATAAGCACACAGCTCAGAGGCTGAGGGCAGATTAGCTGCTGTTCTGGTCACAAGTGCAGACACATAGCAGTGCCAGGTGCAGGCCAGCAGTGCTATAGATAGAAGGCTGGCAGGAGCATCGCTGCTGAAACTGATGTGGTGTCCCAGTTTGTAGTGCACTGGATACAGGTGTATTGCTGAGCTGCCACACATGAGGTCTCTTTCTCTTTGTTTCTGCAATGCTGCAGTTCTGGCACAACCAGACTGTGTGAGTTTTCCTGCCCTCGCTGTGCCTCGCTCTCATTGAGAGCTCAGTGTGGGTCCTCAGCCAGCATGCAATGCAGCAGTGCTGGGCTGTCCATCATCACAAGGTGATAATCCTGAGAGAGGAGGATGATTGCTCTTTACTGTGGCTCATCTCGTTCCTGATTGACGGAGGTGAAGAAAACATCTGTTTTTCCAGCTATTGCTCACTGATCTGGGCACTAAGCATGGGAGGTCCTGCGTTACCTGGTGCTCATGATGTGCAATGACAACAGAGTAAGCTGCTGAAAGCCAGCAGGAGCACAGACAGCATCCATGCATACCTGCTGCTGTTTGTTGCATGGAGCTTTCTCTGCCATCGTGCAAACAAGGAACTTCAAAGTTGGACATGCAATTCCTTGGTCCTTAAGCAAACACCATTTAGCCCATTGTTTTGCAATATCTGATGCGTGGCATCCTTGTTTGCCATCTTAGAAGGGGAGTACAGACAGGAGGGACTGGATTCCTCTGAGGGTCTGCCTTTTTGCGGGTGGAAGCAGCAGGCATTGCTCCAGCAGTAGCTTAGCTGTATTTCTTTCCAGCTCCCAACTCCTGCAGCACAGCGCGTTTACTCCACCAGAAGCAGCTCTCTCTTGCTTCAATACCTGATTGCATATGCAAGCTTTTTGCTATCGCTGATTGCATTCTGGGTTCAAGGTGCAGGGTTGCGTGAAGCTCAGCAGTGATGTCTCTTGTATCTATAAAGTTTGGGACTGGCTTGGAAATGACGCACTGAATGGTAACACTGATTTATTGAATCACACCATAGCTGTTTCCATCCCAGGCCCCCAGGGATGGGAGGTGAAGGACACATGGGGCTGTCTCCTGCTCTCCACGTTCTCCTCTCCCTTTCCTTTGCTTCCTTTGTACCTTCAGAGAGTTTCTTCCCGTTTATAGGGAATTGCACAGGTTTGGGATTTGAATTCAGAGCTCCTGCATGTGATTGAAATCAGCAAAAAATTCCTGAGTTCGTATAAATTTGAATTGAAGCAGAATTTGCACACAAATGAGCATAATGCCAAATTTCAAAAGGTGTTTAGGACCTACCAGGTAGGATTTTGGGTGTACCCAAGGAGATTAAATGCTAGCAGCCAAGATCTACATGTCTGTGTAGGCTCCTGCCTCCTATAGAAGCACCGGAACACCCGGTGAGATCTCTTAAGAGTTGAATGGAAAACACCTTTCTGAATCTTGGCCTGATTCCCACCACAGCTGAAAAGATCTGCTTTGATAATGATGTAGGTAGCTTGCAGAACTGCAATGGAAACAAGTAGGTCCTGAGAGGAAAGCAAATCAGGGCTGTCTTCGGGGTGCTGAAGTCTGAAATGTTTTGGTTGCAGCTTTATGGGTATGAACAGACTCTCGAGCTTTAGAAAATAAACTCCATACAATATTCTGAAATTAATGTTGAATGTTCTTAAAGTGCTTGTTTTCATTCACAGATGATATAATCCCATCTGAGAGCAGCTCTCTGTCTGATACGACAACCTATGATGACGGTACGTTGATTATCCTTTTCTTCCTTCTGCCTGTTTGGAGACACTCATTGGCTTAACACCCTTTAGGCTGCTATTTTATTGTCTTCCAATGACAAATTGCAGCAGAGGAAAAAAGAGCTTAGTCAGGAGTCAGTGATCTTAATGAGTTACTTATTGAAAGGTTCTGCTCTGTGGGCTGATTTGAATCATCTTCAGGGAAGGAATCTGGATGTACTGTGATCAGCTGCTGTGAATTTCCAGCAGATGCTTTGTCCCTGGGACCTGACCAGAGGCAGATGAGTGGCTGGAGGAGGTGGGAGCTGGGAGGAATTGCCAAGCCCTTCTGTCCTCACAGCTACTAAAACTCACTAAAAGTGGAAGAGTCAGAGACAGCAAAGATCTGTTTACGTTTCAGTGTTACCTAGTGAGCTGCATCTTGCATGGGTTTGGTGTTTGCTCAGCTTACTCATTTCACGCACACACCCACAGGCACACATTCACACCCTGTTCCACAAGGTGGAAAGGACTTGGCTTGCCTCTCCCTTTGCTGGATAATCATCATCTGGGGACAAACATTATCTAAATTATTACTCACTTTTCAGTTCGGGCCTGATTCTGATCTTGCTTGTCCCAGTTTTAGACTCGTACAACCCATCTGGCACTATAAAAAGGAGTTGCATCTGGTTCCTGCTTGCAGAAGTAGAGCTGAGGTTTCGGTTTGGGAACATGTTCTGTGATACTTGTCCTACATTTACCTGTGTTAGCTGTAGTTTCCTTTTGGTTCTAATGGGATTTTGCCGGATTTTGCCGTAAGCAAAGTGAGAACAAGGATCTAGCCAACATCTTCACAACTGCCTTCAGCCACATTTGTCTATCAGTGCTCATTCAGACGCTTTTGAAGTCAGTTCTTTTCAGGCTGTAGTTAAACTAATCCTTAAAATGTCATTTTCAAGTGAAGTGCTGAATGGTGAGGGAGAGTAACTGGCTTTGGTGCAGCTGATGGGAGGGACAGAGCTGCAGAACAGGCACTTGCCCAAAGAGCTCCCACTTGGTGGTCCTGCACAGTCAGAGAAGGAACCTCAGCAGCAGTCAGGGCTGTGAAACCTGACAAAACAAATCTGCACAGTGTCCTGCCAGGAAAGCACGGCGCAGGCAGCTGTGCTGCAGCCTCCTGGAGTCATAGCTCTTGCCCTCATTTCCATGGCACAAAGTTTCTGCTCAGTGGCTGCAGATTTCCACAAAGGGCAAAAATGGCATGGATTTTGCTTAACTAAACAATATTCCTTTCCAGCAGGCAGTGAATCCCTCAGCGTGCCAGCACAACGAACCAGCTCTGCACAGCTTTCCCCAAGGCTGCTTCCACCAAAGTCTCTCGGGCTGGAGAGAGTTCATCTCAGAAAGTCATCCATGAACGAGCAGCTCTTGGAATCAAGACATTCCAGGTACTGTACATCTCAGCTCTTCTGGGCATGAGAGCTCGGTCCTGTCAGATTGGTTATGATGGACTCTCAGAGTTGCTGCTGCTTCCACACTTCTCTTGTGGTTTAAGAGTTTGGTGATAAGCATTAAATTTGCTGCTTAGTAATACACGTGCATAGAGGTAGTCATCAGTGTCCGTGAAACTGTAGAAGAGTGTTGTCTTTGTGAGTCAGGTGAGAAACGCAGTGGGAAGTGTTGTGTTTAAGGAATGGCCCACCGTTACTCTCACTCTCTGTCTCTATTTTTGTGGTTTGTTTTCAGTGTTAAACAACTTGCCTTTTTTCTGGTGACTGTAATTGCTTCAGATAACACCAAACCATACCCATCCCTCCTGATCCTATCAGTATTCCAGCAGGTACATTGTTACAACACCAAGAATTCACCTGAGACTTGAGAAGCAGTTTGTCCTAAAAATAGGAGAATTGCTGGGATGTAAGCCGAATGCCAGCATCAGTGCCAGCTGCAGCAGGTGGCTCAGGTTCCATATGGATTTATAGGATTTGGGCAGTTGTGTGCTGGGGGAGCAGCTCCATGGAGCACATAGGAGCAGTAGCTCAGTTGTGGGATTGTTCTGTGCGAGTCTGATCTGGTGCTGGTTGTTCTCAGTATAAGGATTCTCACTGATCTCAGTGTTTCTTGGACTGTGTTATGAAGCATTCGGATGATTTTTGTCCCTTCCCTTTAAGACGGAGCGCACACAGTCTCGGTCTGGGTGACTTGCATTATGTTTACCCTAATTGGAACTCTGTATCCTTTGCTGCAGGGACCCACTTTCCACTCACAGCAGTCCTTACCGCACCCTGGAACGAGCGGCCCCGTCCCATGGAGGAAGAAGCATGCCTACAACACCTGTGCTCACACGCAATGCCTACAGCAGCAGCCACTTACAGTAAGGGGCCAGGCTGTCTGAATGTCTCGTCTGGATATTTGGGGCACTGGGTTGCTATCAGCCACCATCTGCTGGCACGGTGCTGCACCAGCTTTGTGACGTGCACGTGAGAGCATTTACGTGAGCGTAAACACGGGGCAGCAGCAGAAATAGCAGCGTGCGCTGCTGCACAAGTGGGAGTCTGTCTGCAAATAGGGGTGAGATGGAAGCTATGTGCTTACAGATATCATCTGTGGATTCATGTCCTCTGGGCCTCCTGAAAAATAAGAGACCCAATGGAGGAGAGAGATCCAAATTACTGCCCTTACTGTGAGAAGGAGAGATGCTATAAATAATAAAAGCTGGTAAAGACCTCATGGTTTATTTAGCTGAGGTAATGCAGCTGTAGGAAACCCACCTTCCTATGCTCCCAGCTTTGCTCAACTGCTTGGCTAGATGTTACATACTCTAGATGTTGCATACTTTGACTGCTCCCTCCTGTAAGTCACTGCAGAATGAGAGGCTGTGAGCTTTGCTGCATCTCATAGGTTACTTTTGTCACTCTCATAGGTTACCTTGCTCACCATAATTTTTATCTGAAAGATCTGCTGCTGCTGCAGCAAATGGAAAATTCAACCAAGCCTAATTCTATGTAGAAAGGAAATACTGGTTTGTTTTTGTGCTTTGGTTGGGGAGGAAGCATGCCTGGTTTGTCCACATGTGCTCCCTCCAGCTCTCTGCCTGCGTGTGCCTGCATTTAACCAACCTACATCTGTATTGTTGCAGGCCAGATGTTTCCCCACACCACTGCAGGCAGCGCAGTGGCAGCCTGGAGTCCCAGACCCACCTCCTGGCTGAGGTTCCTGCTGAGAAGACGGCCTTCTCCCTCACAAAGTCCCAGAGAAGCAGCAGCACTGAGATCCTCGATGATGGATCATCCTACACCAGCCAGTCGAGCACCGAGTATTACTGCGTGACACCTACACCCAAACCATATTACACTACTCAGACACTTGACAACAGGACCAGGGGTCGAAGACGGTCGAAGAAACAGCACATCTCTGCTGCAGGTTCAGGAAGTATGCCAAATCTTGCCCAAAAGGATGTCCGGAATGGTGTCTACCACAAAAGCCAGGAGCAGCCTTCCTCCAGCTACTATATTTCTGGATATTCCCCGTACACCGAATCTGATGTTTATTACAATGGAGGATGCGTTTATGAGAGCGATACAGAGGGGCAGTACAGCGTCAATCCCTCATATCGCTCGTCGGCACATTACGGATACGACCGTTACAGGGAATTCAGGTCTTACAATGAGGATGAAGTGGACAGAGTACCGCACAACCCATACGCGACCCTACGGCTTCCAAGGAAGCAAGTTGCTAAAACGGAGCATATAACCAAAAACATTCACAAGGCCTTAGTAGCAGAGCATCTCCGTGGTTGGTACCAGCGTGCCTCTAGTCAAAAGGAACAGGGTCATTGCCTGCAGGCAGGCTTTGAGTCTGACAGAGGGTCTCAAAGGAGTTTGGGCTTTGCTGGTCTGCAGGTGCCGTGCTCTCCCAGCAGTCAGGTGTCGTCTTTCTCATCTGGTAATGTCTCATTGCTTTGATGCTAATTGTTCTTTCCATCCCTTCTGTTCATCAAATTCGTCCCCTGTAATGAATGACATAAGCAGGGCCGAAAGGTAGATAAGAAACTCAACAGGATTTTTGTTCCTTTTGTTCTGTGCTTAGGAAGAATACTCCTTGCTTGTTGCCTTCTCTGAGTGAAACTTTTATTCTTTGTAAGCACAATAACCTAAAAAAGCACAGGGAGCCACGTGTTTCAGGCAGGAATGTCTACCAAGTAGAAGCAATGCACCCACCTGTATGCCATACACATGCAGCTGCTGTGTCACCGTCCAAAATATAGTGCAGTCAGCACCACTGAAATGTCTTTAATAAAAAGAGATTCCTTCACTTGGAATATTGCCCACACAGTTTTGCTTCCCATGGTGCTTGTAGACAGCATTTTGTTTGTGTCCCACAAAAACCCATAGAGATCAGTAGTGAGAACTGTTTAATTTCTCTCATCTCCTTGGGCTGCAGAAAGATCTAATTGGCTGTACCGTTTTTTATTCTTAATTCCAGCATCTTCTGCAAACACTTCTGGGAACTGGCGGAACCCACTTGCACTGGGACTTTCAGATTATGATACGTTATCTCATTCCTCTTTTGCCAGCTGTTATGGAAACACTTATGGCAACCTTCCTTTGCAGAGCAGGTGAGTAAAAGGTTGAGATTTTCTGCCCCTCCTGTACTTTATAGGCTACTAAAACATCTGAAGCAAGCAGCTCGGTTTCAGAGGGCTGGGATAAGGAGTGGTTATAAAATTGCCTTTTAAGAGGGTACCTTCTCCTTGTTGGCATAGATCAGCCTAACTGTTCCAGCAGCCTTGAGGGAAGGGGGATCAGGTGTGGGGAAGGATGAGGTTCCCAGCTGATGCAGCCAAAGGCTCGCACTCTGAGCAGTGCAGCAGTGGAGCTGAGCACAGCACCCTTCTCACTTCCCTTCATCTGCACACCTGAGTGCTGCTGCTGCAAGGCAACACCGCCATCGCTCAGCCCATTAATAAACCAAGCACCTCTTGCTTGGCAGAGCTCAGCCACCGACCTCGGCACGACTTGCTGCTGCTTGCAGCCTCCCTGGGTGCAGGGGCTTTCCCAAGGACTGCAAGGAGCCCAGGATCCCACTGGGGCATTGCAGAAATGCATGCAGTACTCTTGCTTCTCCTGCTTTGTGGTTTTGCTCTGCCCCGGTGCTTGAACGCCAGCCGTCACCGGGGAGAACAGTGGCTGCCTGTCCCAGAAGTGGCACAGATGCTGCCATGTCTCAGTGCCCCCATGCTAAGCACAGCCAGCTGTAGTGTAAGTACTGCGCATGTGTGTGCCCTGCACAGGGGGTTGTGGTTTGTGCTTGTGCCAGGCTGCCTCGCAGGAAAGGTGCACCTTGTTTGTCTGTTTAGGAAGAAGCTAAAGTGTAAGGAAAGATGCAAAGGCTTTTGCTGGGTCCTTGTTGCTAAGCTGAATGCCTTGTTTTTATTGCAGTGATTTAAGAGCTCTGTAACAGTAGTGTTCAAGAGTGCTGTTGGTACTAATTACTTACCTTTCTATAATTGAGCTTTGAAATCTGTGTATTTTGGCAGCTTTTTGAGTGTTTTTTTTTCTGTTAATTTTTCACATTCTCAATCATTTGACCAATCATTAAACTGTGGGGATTTTTGTATTTCAGTGTGATTATGGCAATCAATATGTTCCATACTCCTGACAACTTTGGGCAGCAGCAATCCTGTTGCACACAGCTAGCACAAAGCCCAGGGTTTGCATTTGGATCCAAATGTTGCCAGGGTGCACTCACGGCATCCACAGCTCCTTCCAGCTTATGGGGCTATCGTGTGCTCGTGCCCATTGCACCAAGGCAGTGGGTGTTTGGGGCTCTGGGGAGGGTGGAAGCTCCTGCTTATCCCTGGTGTTCTATGTCTTACAGAGTGTACCCAGAGCCAAGCCAACTGGGCAGTAATGAGGAGAACCAGCTGGAGGAAGACTTGCACAACAGTGAGCAGAGGTTGTTCTGGCATGAGGACTCCAAGCCTGGGACACTCGTGTAGACCGCCCACAGCCCTGCATTCGTACCCTTGCGTGCCTTGCACAAAATGCTGTTACTCCGAAGGAGATCTCGGGTGCACCTTCCAGACCGATGTTGCCAGGAATGATGAAACTCAGCATTCAGAGGGATTGTAGCAAAATGACAAAGTCTTACCAAGAACGGCGTTTCTTTCTGAATCCACATCACCTGCAAGAGCAAAGGGCAAGCCACAACTGAATCTATGACAAGATGCAGCACTTGGTTGGAGTATTTAGGTTCAGCGAGCACTTTTGTGGAAAGGTTGGAAGGTGGTGAAAGCAAACCTCAGAAAAAATAAATGTGAAAAGGAAACATAGAAAAAGCAGGAATTCTAGGAGCACAATTCTGATGTCCAGAAGAAGAACAAATGGGAATTTCTTCCGCCGTGGCTTGTGAGAACCTGGAAGGACTTTCATAAGCTGATGAAGGATTGATTCTGTGTGTGTGAATGAGGCAAAGGGCGATTTGATCAGTATTGGAACATTACTTGAAGAAAGGCTGGATTTTTTTGTTGTTGTTACAGAGGTTTGAATGAATTTATCTGTTTTTGGGGTGTTGTTAAGAGTGATTGTTAGCACCGCAAAGGAGTTGTGGGAAGAAAAGAATGAGCTGTCAGAATATGTCACCTAAAACTCCGGGTTGTGGGTTTGGGAAGCAGAGGAGTCTGCTCCTCCCCGTGATGAAGTGTCACAAACAACTTCACTGTGTGGGGGCAGGCAGACCCCATCACTGCTGGGTGGCAGCTCCGCATTGCTCTGCCGTAGCAAATCAAGGATGGAAATGGGGAGCTCTGCCTGGCACAGGAGCAACGTGACGTAATGGCCAGTATTGTAGGGTGGATGCCAACACAGCCAGCCCAGTGGGTGCCTTACAACGAGGGGCATTAGCATTGCACTGCCTGCTGTGCTGCGGAGTCACCAAGTGACAGAACAGCATCTTTACAAAACCCCGTGTCTAGGAAAGAGTGCGACTGCAGTCTTGGTCTGAGAGAGGGATAAACCTACCTCATATCATCCACCTGTAGGAACAAGTTAGCATGGGTTCACTTGCGTGATTGATGACTCATCTGCATACTGTAACATCTCTCTCGTGTCTCAGCTGTGTGTGCTTCAGGATCCCATACGATGGTGCTCTTCTTTCTTTTATACAAAGGATTAGTAACTCCCTGTTCATATTGTGAATAGAAAGGTTTCTGATACACTTTTTTGACGTTTTTTACCAATATTCCAGAGCATGTAATATATACAGAAAGACACACTTGTTAAGCTGGTACTTAGTGGTTTGTATTAGAGTCGCAATTGGGAATTAAACGAACAGAAAAAAAAAAAAAGAAAACCAACAAAATAAAAAATAACTTATTTCCTTGGTTTTACATATTTGTATAGCCTTCTAGAAATACGAAAGCTCTTTTTTGCTTATTCTTTTACTACTTACGGACTTTTAGACCTATTATTTTGTATAGGTCAATAAACTGCAAAGTGTGCTACCAAAACCTCTTGGGCATTTCTCCTGTTTATCTTTGAGGTGTCTCTGCTTGAGTGCTTGGGAATGCAGTATGTGGTATATCCGGGTTTAGGAGTATAAGAGTGAGTCAGCCTGGTCTGATACCCCATGTTATCCTATTGTTGCATTTCTCCTGGTAGTTCTGGAGCCTTTTCTGTTGGCAAACTTGGTTCACTGAGGGCGTGCTTACAGCAGGCAGCTGCATGGCTTGGGATCCGTTGCCCAGTGCAGAACAAATGCTGTTGCTGCACTCTGGCAGTTCATCAGCACTTGTAAAGGGCTTTCATTAAAAAAAAAAGGACAAGATCTGCTCCCCATTTCAAGCATTGTTTACTTTCCTTTATTTCAATGCTGTAGCCATTACATTTTGTGTGGGCTTTTCCCTTCCTGTGCCCTTCCCTTCCCCTTTCCTTTGCTTAGCCTGACATGCCCATGTTGGCACGGGGCTGGCACCCAGCTGCTGCCGTTGTTTGGCTGAGATCAGGGTGGTTTGGGGTGACTTAAGATGGGTGTGTTGAGAACATGGGAATTGCAGGTGGCTTCAAGTGGAGCCCATCCACCGTCTATGAAGCACAAAACCTCCAGGGCTGGATTTCAGAAGCTGAACCCCTCGTGAGGGACAAGCCAGAGGGCGCAGGGCTTTCTGGCCAGCAGGCAGCCAGGTTTTGCTGCCGGCCCCCCTTTGGGCTATCAGACTTCCAGCCTGCTGAGCTCTGCCATGCTGCTTAGGTGCACGGCTGTTGTGGCACCAGATCCTCATAGCACATCTGAAAAGGTAAGGATGATTGGTTATGACTGTTATCGTATTTGCTCAAATGCGGAATTCAAATGACCCGGGCTTTGCTCACCCTGCTGCCTCAGCTGCTGAAACTTTTCTGCAGGGTGAGCAGGGACACCTAGCGACCAACCGGTGCCACTGAGGAGAGGAGCCTTCCCACCCCGGAGGTCCTTAGGAAGTGGTGTTTGCTGCCGTCCGGAGCAAAGCCAGGACGCGAACGGCGTGACACACCGAGGTGAAACGCTGGCGGACACCGTGGTGGTCTCGGGCTCTTTCTGTGCTGGAGGGGGGGAACTCTATTTCCTAAGGGATGTCCTTATCTAGCTGCAAACAGCAATTTCCTGGAGTGGCTTTCAGATTGTTTTGGGCACTCTTTGGAGCTATTTGAGGTAAGAACAATGGGGAAAAAAAAAGAGTCTCGTTTTATTCTGTAAGCGTACAAAGGCATAAACAATTCCATGTGCTCCTTCCCGGTGCGTTGGGCAGAGGCTCTAATCTGGATGCAGCCCAACTTGTCCCATTTTGCAGTTTTCATTGGAAACAATTTAACATTCGCTTCAGCCTAAATGGGGTAAGTGCAGATACGGATGCTGTCTGTTTCACCAAGTCGTGGGATGACGGGCTTCATCCTGGCACAGTAAATGCAGTCAGAGTGTGGATGGGGCTGTGCCTGGCTTCCATCTGCATTTTCTGGCACAAGCCCAGCTGAGCTTCCCAAAACCACTCTCCATATCTCCAAGCTCTACTGTGACACCAGTGGATGCAGGTGGTGACATCCTGGTGTACTGCTCCAGCCAGATATTCACTTCTCAGCTGTTGGATGTGGATTTGGGACCACGTGGGTCATGTCCCAGGGCAGGATTTGTTATTGGAAGCCATTATCTCCAAGCCCTAAAGCTGAAAGTAAAGTTGATGTGACATTCCCTGCTTAGAAGAAGGGATGGTGTAAGCAGTGTTTGGTGCTGGTAGCGCAGGGGGACATGGAGACAGTAGGGTCCTTGTCAGAGTGATGAAACCTTAGCCAAGGAGAAGTTCCTTGTCTTCCACCCAGCTTCATTATCTGTGTCACCATAAATCCTTTAGCAAGCCCTTGACTTCTGAGTGATGTTCACCCTCTCCCAGGGCTCAGCAGCATGCTGAGTCTCAATTTCTAGCTCATGGTTGGGGTGCCATCAACGAGCTGCAGGCAGAGAAGGGTTTGCAGCCAGCAGGGGCTCAGCTGGAGTAACTCAAGAAGCAGCCTCCCACCTGTTCCTGACCAGAGGTTAGGGCAGGACATGTGCAGAACCCATCACATAGCCCCAGCAGCACTTCCCCTGGGCACGTTTTGGTGGCAGGGTGATACAGAGCACGAGGCTGCAATAGGTTTGTTTGCCATGAAATGCAGATACACCCCTGTGTTTGAAGCAAAAGGTGACATTGCTACCCAGAAGGACTTCGGATTCTGATAACTGATCTGCTGGCTCATTGATTCTTTTCATTGTCTGGTTTGTGTTCAGCAGTTCAGCTTGTAGAGGAGGTCACTCATTTAGAAGGTTATGATGATGGTGTTACTCTTCCAAGAGCCCTTTGTGCTTTGTTATCACAGTTTTGATCAGGCAGCACTGACTGGTTGTAGGTAGTTCATGCATTTGGCAAAGAAGGCAGAAGATATTGTAAAACTTAATTTTATCTGCTTGTTGTAAGGTGGGGCTTTTGTTGCTCTTGAGGCTCTGCCACACAAAGGTGGAGAGGATGTGAGATGTGATAGCATTGCCAGTGGTGCAGAGCACATCACCTGCTTGGGACCAACAGCTGGCATGGACCTCTGCTTGCTGTCCATGGGGTTTGGGCAGGTTATTGTTAAACAGTTTCAAACAGCTGAAATGGTTCAAGAAGCGGCAACTGATGGTTTCATCATCCCCAGCTGGTGTTGGACATGATGGCACTTCCTTGAATGTCACTGTGGGGTGCTGGGGCCCTGCTTGGCACTGAAATTTGCCCTTTTTATTTCCTGTTATGGCCCAGCTTCCTCTGCACCCCTCTTTCCCTCTGCTCACAATCTCATTTTTGTTTCCCTGCAATAAGGATCATGGACGATGGCACTGGTGCTGTCTTATGGCACAACGAGGACTTGGTTCAGCTGCTCCCAGCCTTATCTGAAAATGGAAAATGCAAAATAAATACACAATAAATCCTTCTGGTTATGTCTTGGGACAGACTGTGGCAACCAAGCCTCTCCATATCAGGTCCCTGTCCCTCTGCTTTGCCCCAGAGCTCCACTTCACAGCTCCCCCTCAAGCACCTGGGGCACGTGCCTCAAAAGCCAGACATCACTGCTGTATTTAAGCAGCAAACTCAGTAGCTGTAACCACTTGGAGGAGTGCGGGGTGTTGTTTTTCTCCCTGGTGACTTTCCCACAGGGTTTCTCTCCACGATTGCTCTTGTTACTCAGCAGTTGTTATTGTTCAGGTCCCCATCATCTGACCCGTTATAATCCCCATATTGCATTACAGGGATTGCTGCACATTCTTGGTGTATGCCTCTGTTGGTCAATTTTAGACTGCCCCATCGAGCTCATGAGTTTCTTAAAAGCAATGCATGGTTATGTTACACAGGCACATTCTCTGACTGTTTTCCACTTAATGCCTTGGCACTGGGAAATGGCATGCATCAGTAGCAAAAGGAAATAAATATGTGGGTTTTATTAGCAAAAAAATGACAGCCAGCATTATAGAAATTCCTCTCAAGTATTTGGCATCAGTGTGTGTGTGCCTTAAATACAGAATAAATTTGAGGCACTTGAAGCATGGCTTGATGGCCTGCTTAGTGTCATGACATAGGAGTCAACTCCTCTCAATAGTTAAAAACTTGTCAACCCTTTTGCTTTCGAGACAGATAGGCTGGAAGCCTTGAAGAATGTGCACAAAAAAGAAAAGCCATTTATGTAGAGTCATCCTGCACTGGAGTCTGTTTCATGAAGAATCCATCCACATGTAACTGCTTGTTTTAGGAACAGTAAGCAAGAACTACGAATTGTTCATTGAAAGTGCAGTCTTCTTTTTTTTTTTTCTTTCCTATCAGCACAGTAAGAATCCATTCCTTTTATTTAACACCTCTTACATCCCTACATCTCGTGCAGTAGCTCATTAGTGCTGGGAATCCCAAGCGATTGTCAAATTGGCATGAAATGATGAGTGCCACTGTTGGAAGTGGCTTTCCTCTTTCATTCACTGTGATGGCATTAGGGAGGATTATGGATGGCTCTCATGGAAACGTCTGCAAAACGTTATTGGGAAGAGGAGTTGGGTATTGCCTTGGAAAGAACTTCTAGATTTGGCCTTCAGAACGGTTTCAGCCTGAAGGGTGTCTTCTGTTGCCTTAACGTGCTGTTTCCAGTACACCAAAACACTAAGCAATGTGTTAGAAAAGGAAGTGGATCCCGTACTCAATGTAATTTATGGAGGAGACCTAAAGTAGGCAAAATGTGATACCCGCTTTGGAAATCTGTGGGATTAGCACCCGTGCCACTGGGAGAGGTGTCACTGGGCAGCCTTTGCCCTGTGCCCGATGGAGAAGGCACTGCTCCCAGAGGTGTAGTGTTTCCTAGCAGCAGTATTGACAAATGATATATTTCTACTTAGAAGAAAGCTTGCTTTTTAAATCCCTATCAGTGTTCTCAGTATCCCCGTTTTCCATCTCGAGAGGCCTTCGTGGGCTGACCCTACTTAACTCAGCAGATCTGGCAAGACCAGGGCCCAAGATGGGCCTGGCTGCAGACAGTGGAAATACAAGAAGGTGGCCAGGGGCTTTATTTACAGTCAAGAAATTAGCAAGCGATTTGTAACCACTGAATAGACAGCTTCTGTGACCCAAACAGCATCGTTTGGGTGAGTAACATACCGGCTACTGGAGCGCATTGATTTATTTGATAACATCAGGAAACCATTTATGGACTCTATTATGGATAGCACTTGCTGGAGGTTAGAGCTGCAGAGCAGATAGATTGATGTGTGGGTCTGCTGTTGTGCTTGCTACTGCATAATATAAAATAAGGATGTCCCCTGAAATACCAAAGGGGCAAACAGAAGCGTTATGTACTTGGCTTGGTTTATTTTTATTTTTACATTTGCCATTTATTTGATTCTTAAATGTTTGAATTCTTTGCAGTGCTGTACCAACCTGTGCTTCATGGCTTTTTGATTGGACACCATGGTTCTTGTTACAGAATT